GCCCAGTCCTAATTATACTGCTGTTGTGAAATAAGACAATGGCTTACTTTGCCTGTAAATCTAGTGGAGCTTATTATACTACAAATTAAGATGAAATACTTACAGTTGTTGACAGTCTAACCTAAGCATAATGAACAAGGCATATCAAAATGGATCTAGATAGGTGTAAATGAAATGTGGAATATGCTGGAAATGGTTGCTTATTATTTATTTAATTTATTTAATCACAAGATGAGAAACTCTGCTCCATATCTTAGCTACTGTGTATATGCAAACAGAAGTTCAGATTTTAAACTCAGTGAAAACCAACTTGGAGACAAAATCCACTAAAGAGGTTATTCTGCTTTTCAGCGTCTTTCTTTGTCGACTGACTTTATTGTGAAAACTTAAACTGAGACCAGAGACTGGTTCTGTTTATTCTTACAAAGTATCACCTAATCATTCAGGTCAAAAGATTGCCTGTTAACAGTATCTTCATTTTATATAGGCCAAACTAGCTTATTAGCATTCATCCAATCCTTCACTGATATGAGCATATTTACATCTCATCTAAATTTGACTGACTTGAGAAATAGACTTGCTGCCCTCAGCACACAAATAGGGCCTCGCTACTTACTGCCTGAATGTATGAAATGGCAGTGTGAGCCATTTGAGGAGAAATAAACCACCTGCTTGTTGGTGTGGCAGTTAAAAGCATTGGGCTAGAAATCAGGAGATTGAGTTCTAGTCCTATCTTAGGCACAAAGCCAGCTGGCTGACTTTGGGCCAGTCACTCATTCTCAACCCTAGAAAGCAGGTGATGGTAAACCACTTCCAAAAAATGTTGCCCAGAAAACCAGAATCAAGACTGACTTGAAAATACACACATACACACACACAAATCTGCTTGTTCGATATGTAATGGCACAAATTTGCAAAACATCAGCTGATGCTGCAATTTTCAAATGAATCCATCTCCAAAGTAAATCTACTATGTTGTATATAACAAACTAATGGAAAATACAAAAAAGCTTACCACACTGTATTCAGTTACTGAGGTCATGAGATAGTGCAGTGTTTCTCAACCTCAGTGACTTTAAAATGTATGGAGTACAATTCCCAGAATTCCCCAGCCAGCATGCTGGCTGGGGGATTCTGGGAATTGTACTCCATACATTTTAAAGTCACTGAGGTTGGGAAACACTCTCAGTGACTTTAAAATGTATGGAGTACAATTCCCAGAATCCCCCAGCCAGCATGCTGGCTGGGGGATTCTGGGAATTGTACTCCATACATTTTAAAGTCACTGAGGTTGGGAAACACTGGGATAGTGTGATACCTCACTTCCTTATTAACATTATACCATCTGACATGATAAAATGCTTTTATCTTTGCTATATATCGACTATATTTGCTCCAGAGAGATTGACTAAAAGTCAATCAATCTAGTTATCATTTGGATGCTGGAAAAGTATTAAGCTCATGTTCCATAGACAGGTGAGTTTAGATTTTGTGCCTTAGGACAGAATTATAGGACCAGAATAATCTTTTAGGAAACTCAGTCTACATAATGTATATGAAAGAAACTCAGTCTACATGATATATATGAATATTTGTGGCTAAATACAGATGTATACATCCACTTTTTATAACTTCCATCTATATCTTTCCTGCTCTTTTCCTTAAGCAACATGTGTTTAAAATACCTCCTGACAACTGTTTCTTATGCAATCCAGAAAGTTTTAATGCTAATTGAAGTACAAAGATATTGCCAGAGCTGATTAAAATATCACACCACCTTAAAATAAGATTTATATATTATGCTGTTGCTGAGATGTGAAATGCTGGTTCATACCAAGTATATTTATTGCAACTCTAAGCTATGACATCCATATCATAATTATTTTGCAATTTGCTAAATGTATGTCTTACATGGCTGTAACATTAGCAATGGCTGCTGAAAAAGTCCATAAAACATTTATATTATTGCTGTAACTCATGTTAGGTTAATCATCTTACATAAATGTATATTGATTTATCAACTTTCTGAAGTTTTATGTTAATACATAAATCCTCTAGAATCCAGTGCTGATATTTGACTTTTAAAAAGTCTGTGAAGCTTTATTTTCATACTTTAATCTTATAAACAATAACCAGCCATTTGCTTCCATTCAGAGGTCAAATCAGATCGAAGTCTCTGTCTCGGATGAATCTCTGGAAGATAGCAGTGCTGAATTCCAAAATTTAGAAGAGGTGAGTTAAAAAAACAAAATGGTATTGAATGAAAAGTCTGATTCATTCTTCTGTAAGATGTGCTGTCTATGGTCCCTCGTGCTCTAGTCACCTCATGTTTGAACTGCTGCAATTTGCTGCACCTGGTCTGCTCCTGTAGACCACTCAGAAGCTTCAGCTAGTACAGAATGCAGCCATCTGCCTGTTGCAGGAGCTGCATTGGTTATTAATTTGCTTCCAAGCGCAGTTCAAGGTATTAGTGATTACCTGCCTTGCATGACTTAAGAAAGGGATATTTCTGAGACCTCTGTTCTGACTCATATCTGCCCACCCCAGTGGTCCTCACCCTAAGGGAAATAGATGGAGTGGGAATCTAAACGGAAGAGTCCCCTGCTGTGGCTTCCTCCATCTGGCCAGCTCGCCTCCCCAACTCATGATGGCTCCCTCCAAATTAATATTTAGGACAGCAGTCAAAACACTGGTCTTCCCACAAGCCTTCCAGGAATAAACGTTTTCATGCTGTGGTTGAATTCACTGGTGGTTATATTGAAATGTTGACTATTGTATTTCTGTGTTCAGGATTATACTGTTTTATAATGGATTACTTTTGTAGTGTACTGTAGTGTAAGCTGCCTAGAGTTTGTCAACTGAGGCAGTGTACAAATCTGAGTAAATAGATAGATGCATACATAATAAAATCAAATAATAAGGAATAAAGAATCCATAATGGTTGAATTCAGACAGAATTAATAACATTAGTTTCTCTAAAATCAATAGGACAAATTAGTCATGATTAAATTAAAACCCATGATTTCATTACAACTAAAGTGTACCTGATATAGGCTGTATTCCACACACATTTCTCACACAGTTTTGTGACACATTATTAGTAATATTGGCATCAGTTTATAATGCAAATCTTCCTTTTTTTCTAGGAAATGTTTGGAAGCATTTTTCATTCGGAAACACAGACAGCACTATGAGCAACTCAGGAACATTCCTGTGATGGCAAATTATTTGTCCACAATGTTTCTTTATGAAGGTTCCTGTGCCTGAATGGCAAGGAAAATGGCTTTTTTGGCAAGGGACCACGGGTGCTTCTACAGCACTGAGGACAGAATGTCTCTCAGACCTGGTATTCTCTTCTATGATTCCACTCAGATTATGAACCTCAGAGCAACTGACTCTTGAAATGGTTGGCATGGCAGGAAGGAACTCAGGGAATATATTTCATCCATCTAGAAGAAGCAGAAAAGTAGCTTGAATATCTCCTAGTTCATATTTCTCTCCTCTTACAGCCTTTATTTATGGAGCCATAAGTATGCATGTAGCAGACATGCATATCTAGGAATTCTCCAGCATCAGAGTTGTTCTCATGAGGGAAAACAAAAGAAAATATGGAGAATGTTTGACTGATTGCCAGATATCATGCTCATGAAATGCAGCAGTTTCAGTTCACAAAGGGGTGATTGTTTCTAACATCTGCATTTATTGCATAGTCTTTATGCAAAAGTTAAACACACCCATGATGATGCCTAGATTTCCTCTAATTTTGTTCATTGCAACCTACTGCTATATTCCTTATTTTTGTGGCCTAAATGCAATAGGTTCTGCATTTCTCAAAACAAGGACTGTATTTATTGTAGTACTGAGGATCATCCAACATACATTATTACTTAGAAGCAGTACTGCCTTTTTCATTATAAACCACACCTCTCTCTGCTCTTTTTTCTCTTTTTTTAAGAATGTGTATGTTTAGAGGATGAAAATAATATTGTTTTTCATAGGACCTATGCACACAGAGCATTTCCACAGTTCTCTGAATTTTTAAAAAATGAAGCTTATTTGACATAGGTTTAATTAAGCAAAACCAAAGAGAATATTTTAATTTATTCCAATGGCATTTTGACTATACTTGTGTTTAGAAATCTCAAGGTAATTCCACGCTGTTCTTGGTATTGTAGCCTTGTGTTCTTAATAACTAAACAAAATAATGCAGCTTAGGTTCATTTTGAAAAATAAAATTTCTGTAAGAAACTATTTTTCTTCAACCTGATTACCAGTTCTGTGTATTCTGTTCAGAAGAAGATAAAGTGAAAAGCTGTCCAACACATCTGAAGGAGGTATTTCCCAAAGTGCAAAACTTTTTTTGAATGCTTTGCACCAGGGGTGTTCTGAGAGGGTTCCGAAAAGTCAGGATGGTGGCCACAATGACACAATCAAAGTCCAGCATTTTTTTACATACATTGCATGAATGATGCACATTTAAAAAGGGCAGGATTTCAACTGCATAGTCATAGCTGCCATCTTGATTTTTTTGATTCCCCACAAATGCCCCTGCTTTGCACAGCCTTAATAAATCATACCTCCTAAATGCAATATTAAAATCAGTTAGGTTATAACCTACTTAGTGCTGAAGTTTTGCCTTGTGTACAGATTTGATTAAAGGACTCTTAAATAAGTCACAGGACTAAGTTCAAGAGTAGCAGTTTATTATCTGATTCCTCTCAAGCAGTTTAAAACCATTCCAACATTCCCAAGGGTTTTCTTTAGTTTATGTCACAATGAAGAGAATCTACCTCTCAGGCAGACTTGCCTAATTAGTTAATCTAGACAAAGATAGTTTTTAAAATTGTATTTTGTAAATGCAAAGTAATTTTATATAAAAATGTGAATGATGCAAATGACTATTGATGTTGGATAGTTTTTTGTTGTGACTCTTTCTTCCACCCCCAAGTGTTGACTCTGTCAAGTGTGGGACATAGAGGGCATACGCCTGATATGGACAGCACAAGCCAAAGGTTATTTCTTAAAAAGCCTCTTACTATACCAGTCAAAGTTTACGTTCTGTGAAAAAGTTGATCTCCAAAAATGTTACTGGGCAAAAGCATCCAGTGGTTTCTGAAGTCAATGAAAAGTAAAATCTAGAAAATTAGAGGAAACAAAAATAGACTTTTTCAAAATGTTACATGCATTGAATAGTGAAAAATTAATTAGATTTCAAAAGTGTATCTAATGTAGCTCAAAGTATATTTTTAAAAAAATATCTGGTCTCAAAGTTGATGCTGAGTGTATATAAATAGTAAACTCTCCTTCAGTCCAAGATGGGAGAGTCCCTGCATCTTTATTTGGCAAAAGTAGGGCAGTGGTTTCCCAGTTTGGCTGCAGCACTGGCCTTTCCTTGTGCCTGTGGCATTCCACCAAGTACTAACTAGGTCGGTCACTACAGCTTGAGTCCAGACAAGGCTGACCAGCAGCTGCTCCCGGCTGCAACTGCTAGAACTACACGAAAGAATAATTGGCAGGGTCTCTGCAAGACCGTTGTAAACGCCGCTCTCCTGAGCCCAATTCTTTGAGAGAACGGCGGGGCACTTTCAAACCATAGAAACGGTTGTTAGTCCTCAGTCAAGAAAGGACCACTCCCAACTGCCATCGGTGAGACGAACTGAGACTCTCCTCCCCCGCGAACTACCAAACCAAGCGTCCCGTGGCGCCGAGAACTAAACAGCTCCGTCAATGATTGGCTAGAAGCCGCGCCTGCCTGTCAAAGTTCCCAAAGCGGCTGGCCCAGGGCGCAGTAAAATGACGACCTTCCGCGCTCGGCTGCGAGGGGTCTTGTGCGGGGCTGGCTTGGGACTCTGCGGGGTCGCGCTGGTCCTGCTGGTGGTGATGCTCCTCCGAACCTATGGGACACGACCTTCCGGCCCGGCAACAGGGCTGCGGGCAGAGCGGCAGCGGCGCGCGTTGGCTGCCTTCAGTCCCCGGGAGCTGCAAGAACTCAAGGAGGTGCTGCAAGGTAAAAAGGAAGAAAAGGCAACGATGGAATCGGGCGTAAAAGCAGTCATTGATTCAGAGTGAATATTTCTGTCTCTGATTTTAATAGGGAGTTAGCGCTGGTGGCTTGAGAGAGCAAAATCAGAGCCTTGTCTGCAGTTGGCGACTAGACTCTTTAGCTGCTGTCAGACTAAATTAGTGTTTTCCTCTGTTCCTGGCTTAAATGGTTTGCTACAGTAGGTGGAACTCCTGTCCTGGAGCAGCTGCTTATGACAGAATGGCTGCAGCTGCTGCTGTTATTGCAACTCCTGCTTTCCAATACCTTTTCACAATCAGTTTGCATAAAATGACTCAATAACATGAGAGGCTTGGAGGCCCTAAGCTGTATGACGTTGAATAAGGTCACTCTTGGTGTTCTTTCCTCCAGGTTGCCCTTCTGTATAGTTCTGTCTCCATACAACCTACGGGAATTCAGTTTGTAGACACAAATATATCAGAAAAGGCACTGTTCAAACGATGTGGTCTGTTATAAAATGCAGGCTTTGCACCCTGCAGGACTCGGGGAAGTCTTTGTGGATGGATTGGTTCCCCCTCCTCCCTCCTGCCTCATGTTAGGTGGAGTGGGGAAGCTGTTTTCCCAGGCAGTAACAGGTGCCGTCCTGTCACTAAGTAACTCCTAGTCTTAGGAGTTGAGCTGTCCTTTGATCTTTTGCCCCAGAAGCTGACGCTGTAGTCGCTCATGCCCTTAATGCCTTGCAGAGGCTTTAATGTAATGCTCTCTATTTAGGCTGCTGACATAGTGATGAAACATAGCCATGACATCGCAATGTACTTCCCTCCCCCATCAGGATGCAAGAGAGTGTGTTTGCACAGTGCCTTTGCCGCACGCGTGCCATCATTTTGCCATTGCTAGGGCTAGCTGCAATCCACTATAACTGCCACCTACTTGGAAACTACAGTTGGTACAAAATGCAGTGTCCTGTTTGCTAAGTGGCCAGATCCAGTTTAGCAGAGTGACAGCTGTTTTACAGGAACTGCACTAATTTCTGGCAAGTTTCCAGATACAATTCAAAATGCTGGTCACTACCTATGAAGGCTTTTGTGGCTTGGATCCCCAATTTCTGTGGGATCATCATTTGCTCCACATTGAATCTTCCTGCTTGATTTCCATCTTCCCATGAGATTTCATGGAAATCTCCTTTCCATGGCTGCCCCAACCCTATGGAACTATTTTACCCCAATCTAGGAAGGCCCCAAATATTTCAGAAGCTGGTGAAAACCCTTCTTTTGTCTCAGGCCTTTGGAGAGAAGAGCAATAAGAGGATGGCTGTTACTTGCTGTACAGTCTCTGACAACTACTGTATGCTTTATACTGGTGTGTTTTACTATGTTCTGTGGATTTTTGAAGTATTTTAAAATCATTTTACACTTGATGGGTTTTTTAAAATATGTTTTTGTTATTTTATTGTGAGCTGTTCAGAGTCTATGATATTGAAGGGTCAGAAGAAGGGGGTTAATCCTCCTCCCCCCCCGGTTCCTATGTGGAACTAAGGCCATACCAACACCAGTTTGAAGAGGAATGAGCCCAACCACCCACTGTTGGGGCAGCTGATAAGGGGGGGTGGGGAGATAACATGCTGGAACGCTTGCAAGAGGGCCCACGACCTGGAAAACAGGATGTGTGAAATTTAGATATAGGCTTAAAGCAGCTTGCACCATATGGAAAGGAGAAGAATGTAGATAACGACAGGGTGATGTCTGTTTAACCACAGCCTGCAGGGACACGATCGCCTTTAAAATGACACATAAGTAGAACCCCCAAATATGGATAACTGTAAATAAGAGCAAGGGGCTTTAGAGTAGGGTAGTAGGAGATGTAAACTAAGGCAGGACAACTGGAAGTTGTATTTGACGTACCTGATAGGTTGTGAACTCCATAGTACCTGACCAATGAAGAGCTGGGGAGGGAATTTGGGAAGTATAAAGATTGTGACCAAATTGGGTGCGGGACTCTTGCTGCCTTACAGGCTGGAGTCCTTTTGTTCTGGTACCTTAATAAAAGCAAACCTTTATTCTGCACCTCGTGTTTGGATGTCTTTTGGCTTCGGCACCAAGATCAGACTCGTTTTGTGGCGAAACAATATGAATGGCAACAAACTGGATTCTCATCCCTCATGCTGTGCAGACAGAATCTCTCTGTAGGATTTATGCACAGACAACTTTGTGCATTTCTGGAATGTGCCCCCAACTAAATGTACAAAGCTGTGCATGGCAGTTGTTCACTATTATCACAAAAGTCCTGCCAATGTCCTCTTGTAACTGACATTAGGGTTAGTCAACCCACTGATAATACTTCCTTATATAATTGGATCTTTCAAGCATTTTAATGGGTGTAGTAGTTCATCTGTTTGTGTTACTCTTCTGAAATACTGCCTGAGCATTTTTAAAAACTCTTTATGTTTTACATAAGGTGCTGTTAGAATGAAAACAGTTTCCTTCTCACCAGATGATCAGAATATAACAGCCCTGGCAGAATTCAAGCCCTATATTTATAAAGGTATTTAAATTTAAATTCTTGCTTTTATTAGTGACAAAGCTGTTGCATAGAAAATCTAATTATTGTATTGCTTTTTTATCTTGATAGAACTGAAGTACCAAACTGAAAAAATCTGATTCATTATTTAATAAAATGTAATTGACAAAAATGTGGTTGGTTATAGTTGGTTAATCAGCTGAAGAAAATATGGATTTTTCAAAAATGAATATATATGTATTTTTACAATAATTTAATATTGTTTCTCAATTGGATGTAATATTCTGGGATAAATTACACAGAAGATCCACAGAAAGGGTACAATATGAATTTCACAGGGAGAATATTCCCAGTTTAATATCAATGTAAGTAGGAAAAATGAGATCCCTTCCAATCAGTGGTTGGCTACAGACATTGTACTAAGTTACGACTAGCTTTAACTATCCTTTGTTGAACACACAATGCTAAGCCACAAGCTATGGATTCTAACTCAATATTTAACCTGTATGTCACACAAAACATAACATTTTAAGCCAAACAAACCATGTGACGCCCAAGTGTGATGCATTAACAAGACAGTGTAGGCAGCACTGAAAATAATGGATTAATGATATGACTCTATAAAAGGCAGTTTCCTGTGTTCTTAAAAGTTATAGGATACCATTTTTTAAAAAAATTACTTTCGGGTCTGCCTGAAGAAGTTTTGAGATGGAAATGTTAACACAGATATGTGCTTGTAGCTTTACATATTCTTAGAAAAGAAAAACGCCATGTATTACTTAGAAATTAAGCCCCATTTAGTTCAATACAGCTTGTCCCTTACAACCTAAAACTCATGGGGTGAACCAGAAAGTACAAGGTTCTAAAATCAATTCAACTAAAAAAATTAATAAGGTGGCTTTAAATAAGCCACTTTCTCTCAGGCATGGAGAAACCACATGGCATCAAATCTGCTTAGGAAATAAATTGGTTCCCTGTTGTTTAATCAGTGATTTTAGGTTCTTTCCTTTGCACCAGATTCCCGTTTCCTCCTGTTGTGATGGCAAAATATTGTGCAAACTTCCAACTGCAACACAAGGATGATACTTTAGGTTTATTTTAGATTATTGCAATTACTGTAATAAAGTAGGAATAGACCTTTGAGCACCCAATGGTTGCTATATATATTCAGAGTAAGATAATAAATGCTGATGCAGGAACAATGTAACTAGAAAGACTGGTGTACTGCAAAAACAGGTCCTATTGTGGTCACATAGGGAATATTGCTGAGTTTGTTTGGAAAAGACTGAGGTATGCTTGTTTTTTTCCAATGGATAAAAGAGGGAAAAGAAAGCATAATTTCAGAGTGCTCATTCTTATATATATTATTTGCTTAAAATCTGTCCATCCCCAGACAGAAAGACAAAGAGTAAATAATTCCTTTCTTCCACACTTCAGTTAATCATTTTCTCAAATATATCAGCCACTATTCATTTATATGAAAGAACACATTCATTAAAATCTTGGCTTCTTTATCCAACACATATAGTAATCTCAAAATCAAATCCAGTCCTGGCTAACTTTGTTCAATTCTCTTTCCTGAAGCTTTTCCTAGAGTGTTTTCTACCTCATTCATTCAACATGAAATTATTGGAGATTACAGCCACCTATTCACCATCCAGGGATCTAACCCTCAATTACAGCCCTATATGCTGATTGCACATATAGATGTAGTCCCAGCTTCCCCTGATGGATGGGATGTCAGTGATCCTTTTTCTGCTGAGGAACGTGATGGATTTATATATGGAAGAGGAACACTGGATAATAAAAACTCAGCTATGGTATATAAATTTATCTCCTTTTGGTTGTATGCAGAAACACTATGAGTTCCAGGTGTCTATGAAATTTTATGTACCATATTAATGATAAGTCATGTCTTTTCATTTCACAGTGTGGGAAGATGGTAGTCAGTTTTCCTTCTATATGCTAAAATTTTTAAAAGCATCTTATTGGTTTTAGAATTGCATTTGGCTGAGTTTCTTAGATACATGTTCTGCTTCAGCATCAGTTGTGATTGCTCCTCCTGGAAAACAAACTGAGAAGGTGGAAATTACAGTGGCTTTTCCTGTTTTCACTGAACAAATGACTCTATTTTTTTCCAGAATAAATTAAATTGATGTTTGTAATGGGAATACTGGTCACGCATGCCATCTTGAGAGGAAAAAGTGGTTGCTGACCTGAAGATAAAATGGGAAAGTAGTGAAAGGGGGTCAAAGGATATGCCCCTTGCCTCTTTTATTTGTTTGTTTGGGATTTTATGGTGGAATTAAGCCAGTTGGAGGTTAAAGGCACTGAATTCTTTCATTTCCCCATGAAAATTAGTGGCAAATTGTGCCTCCATTTGAATAGTGTGATCTTGGAAGAGTGCAAAAGTGGAGCTGGGGCCACATGCGAACTACAGGTTTCCTACCTCTTTTTTAATCAGTTTTGCTCAGTTGGCTGGTTACAACATTCTGGGTGACCACAGTAACTAAAACAGCCTTTCTGACAGTTATGGAAACCAATAGACTCATGGTTGACATGGATATAATGAGTGCTGAGCCCCTCATGATAAGGAATGACAACACTACCCTACCTCAGAAAGGAAAGCTGGAGGGATGGGTGGGCAGTATAACAGTAGAATTCTTATTTTGTCCCAATAGCCTTTAGGTAGGCTTGTTCAAGCAACCAAGCAAGATGGGCTATCTGATTAATAGCACATTAATCAGATAGACCATTAGGCCATTATAACAACATATCTAATAGGTCTGCTGGTGTACAGAAAACTACTGATAACAGATATCTCTTCTGAGAAGCATAAAATACTGCTTTAGTCCCAAGATTAAGAATGCAGTGTTGTGTTGGTAAGCCTTAAACGGTAACATTTGCCACCAAATTGACATTTCTTTAATGTGACAGAAAGGAGAAATGATTAAATACATGATGAAACTAAGTATATTTAATTTAAACCAAATATAGTTTTTGTCTTAGCTCAGTTCACTTTTGGAGTATTGTTCCTGGCTTGCCGCCAAAGGCAATTATAGCTGTTGGCCCCAAACAGATTGTGCTGCCCTGCTCTGATTCTAACAAAGCACTGTTTATTGCATGATTGAGTCAGTTGTCTTGGGGGATTATCAGAAATGGTGGGCAGGACACATACAGCATTTTAAAAATATAGAAAAGAAGAAGAAATCCACACACAGTCTTTGGGACATTAATTTATCCTCTTCAATGAAAAGGGAGAGAGACTGCGTATAGAGAGGTGTGATATAGAGAGTAACCTAGGACATGCTCTCACTTGCACCTAAAATGGCACAAACATGGGAACCTTTTTTCTGGGGTATTCCCGTTATGATGTTACCTTCACCTCATCTCCAGTCCATGACTGAAACAGGCTTAACTGGTCTTTGAGCAGCATTTTCCTCCTTATTCCAACACCACCCCAGGGCAGCCTCAAGGAGTATAAAATCAGCTAGGCTTCACCACCTATTACCTTGGAAGGAAGCCAGGCGGCTCCATTAACTGGGGACAGAAGCAACAGAAGTTGGATAGGGATCAGCAATAGGGACAGTAAATTTCTTGCCAGAATATATTTCATTTATATTTATTTACATTTATTTGCTGCCCAACTCCAGGGGACTCACTGTATTATGCCTACTCAGGGAGAGGTGGATAGTACTATATAATTCTATAATGGTAAAAAGCCTTTAGTGGATAAAGTTGAGGTCTCTGTATGAGCTCTGCTTCCTGGTAGCCTAATTCTTGCTAATCGCCATATGCAATACAATTGACTGTGTAACTAAGTAAAATTGTTAATATTTTCTTTCTGACCCTCAGGGCATTCTACACGCTCTAGAGTTTTTACTGAGACGAAATTACAGGCCACAAAGGTCTTTCTATATAGGCCTTGGGCACGACGAAGAGGTATTATTTATTTCTTTTTAAACTTGCAACTTCTCCCATGTTTTCATTATTTACTTTGGAGTTACAAGCCATCCCCAAAAGCTGAATGGTAGATTCCAAGTAAATTGGCTTTTTAAAAATTCTGTTGACCTGAATATCTTTAATGTATGTTGTCCTAATAGAGTGGAGGGTGATTGCCCATTGATCAGGTTTAGGTAGTATAGGAATATTTTGTTTTGCTGAATGGGGAATATATAAACATTGAATGTTTTTAAATATTACATTTGGTACCCTAACTTAAATCTCCCATTTAAAAAATGCTTTTAATGATAAACCAGGCATTATCTCCAGTTAGGATTTAGATATGTGAAGAGGTATACTGAAAGTTATAGGTTTGTTATCAGAGACTAAATCTTTTTACTTGTAATACTGAAGAAGTTATTGTGAACATAAGTATTTTAGAATTATGGTTACTATAATTATAGCATTTGTAGTTATAGTAATTGTTCATATTTATATTTACATTTGAATTGAGGATTTGGTACAGTAGCTACATAAATGAGATTATGTAAAATCTGTTTAGTGGTTTGGGGCATAATTAGTAAATCACTTACAGCCTTGAATAGAAGTTTGCTGAATAACAGTTGCCTTCTTTTGAAGCACTAGCCAATGGCTTGACTTAGAAAGACGATATTCTAATTCCCTTTTAGGTGGATGGTAAAAAAGGAGCAATGAAGATTGTGGCTGAGCTGCAATCTAGAGGAGTACAACTTTCTTTTGTGCTTGATGAAGGAAGCTTCATTTTTAATGGAGTCATATCTAGAAAAGAGAAACCAATAGCTGTGTAAGTAAAGAAATACAAGTATTTGTTACAATAAATGCAGTTCTTTGCCTTTTTAAACAACCAAGAGTTGGAACCCATGCCTTACAATTCACAAATAATTGAAACTGCAATCTACCAGTTGTACCTTGACTGTATTTTGTCCACCTTTGCTCTGGAATGATCAACGTATGTATGTTGTACCTTGTATTTCCATATCTTGTAAATAACAGATTAATCTCAGCTATGTGAATGCCTGATTTTGAATATCCAGACTTTGGCTTCTGCTGTTCTTACAAGATTGTAGTAGCTAGGGCAACATGGCATTCTGTAATATCAGGTAGGTGAGGGTTTGCCCTGGACTGCCAGAGGGCATTAGTAGAAATTCTTGCTGCCCTGCACAGCAGGCTGGTAATCTGACTACAGAGTAAATTGAATGATGCATAAGCAAAGCGAAAAAGGTCTACATAGAATCAGCCAGAAAGCAGCAAAAGTCAGACCTAACTTCTTGTTTATTCAGTTTGAAGATAATGAACAGTCCTGCTGTATTGCATCTAGAAATTCATTAATGGTTTTTCCCCCTACTTATCAGAATAGCTATCACAGAAAAGGGTGCACTTAATATAAATCTCAGTGTAACATCTTCACCTGGCCATTCTTCTGCACCCCCTAAGAGGACCAGCATTGGTATTCTTTCTGAAGCATTATACAAGTAAGTGTTTGTCTTGGGAACATATTATCATTACAATTCTATGTATGTCTAATGGAAAAAGATAATTTGGGGTTACTGCAACAGTTCCCAGTAAAGCATGTAAAGCATAGTAGTCTAAGGTCCTACACTAAATATCTGCACTAATTACAGGTTAGTAATGTAGTAATCACTACTACAAGTCATGAATGGTTGTAGTAGAATTCTATATCCTGGTAGTTTTTAGATAAGATGGTATACAACTCCTATAATGATGAATGTTGTAGTTCAACACAGCTGGAAGGGGGAAGTCATGGTTGTAGAGTTATGAAATAAGTGGTATCAATCCATTCTGTTCTATTGTGTTATTTTCTAGAATCAATCATGATAATTTGCAAGGCTAGTGATGTATCTAAGTCATTGGTGCCCAATGACTCTGTGTCATCAAGACGTTACTAGCAAAGAAAGCTTAATTTTGTTTTGTCTCCTTACTTTTACTTGTACAGTACTTCTCATTTTCCTTCCTATCATTCCCCTGCCCCCCCCCCCAATCATTTCAACATAGGGAATAGGAGAAAATATGAACAAGAATAAGAGGCAAATTCTTTCTATGAAAAATCTTTTAGCCTTCATTGGCAACTAAGGTGGTTGCCTATTATACTGTGCTGCGACTGAGCAAGTAATTAAGCTTAAGAACAATTAACTAAACTAATTGCATATTCTTTCTCTGTTCTCCTTTCTCTTTCAATGTTGTTTCTTCAATAAATTCCATTGTTATTGAATAACTGAGAGTCAAAAGCTATGCATGAACTGCTACAAATAATTAATATAATACATGACCTATGGACTCTTATTTATCTTTTTTATTCCCCTGCTCTGGTGTCTCTCTCTCTCTCTCTCTCTCACTCACTCACTGCAGGAATTTAAATGTCTGGTTGAGAATAGCTTCAACCATAAAACGTGCACTGAACTTTGTATCTTCTGGATTAAGCCTGCTGCCACTTCTATGATAAGGAAACTTGGTTGAATTAATTGATTGATTAAGGGGCAGCAATCCGTCTTACACTGGGAGCAAGTGAGATTTGATCCATACCCCCTGCTTATCCCAGCACCAGGATGAGCCCCCCTCTTTTGTGGAGGGCTGCATACAGATTATAAGGGAACTCTTCGCAGCGTAAATATGATTGAAAGAAGATATTTTCAGAAGGATGAATGATAAAATATCTTCCAGATTCTAAGAGAGATTTTTTTTAAAAAAAACTGTTTTGAAAACATAGTTTGATTTACTGTTTTAAGCAGGAAACTAACATATTTAACAAATTTACAACTTAGAGCAATATATCATCCTAGTCACAAAATAATTCAGTGAAATGCACTTTATTTTGCTTTTTGCATTTGATAGGTTGGAAACGCAGCCCATGCCCAATTTGTTTGGTCGTGGACCTGAAATCAGGATGTTTGAAGAATTGGTACCAGCAGTGAGTATTTAACAGTACATGCCTTCTTCATTTAATTTTCATGAAACACACTGATAATTTTAAGGCATTTTTTTCCCTTGGGAGAATTCCCAAGAGTTGCTATACTGAGCACTCGGCAAACTTGCTTGCTTACTCGCTCGCTCGCTCGCCCATCCATCCATCCATCCATCCATCCATCCATCCATCCATCCATCCATCCATCCATCCATCCATC